ATAACGAACCAAAATGGTGTTAGATATTCAGACAGTACATCATATTTTAAAAAATACAGCAGTTCAAAATGTAAACAAACCGTTTGTTTACATTACGGACTTGACTTCCCCTTTAAACTTATTGAATCAATATTTTAAGTTTCACGCCAGTTGTACCAAAGGTTATAAGCGCTATAGGCTATAGCGCGTCAAGGGTTTCAGATGGCATGCAACATGTACGCACTGCGTACCTATTTTTGTATCTGCGAAGCAGATATATATGCTATCGCAAACGTGATGTTACCGTATGTTAGCACATAGCCATTCAGCGACGAGCTTATATAATTCAGACAATTCATGATAATTTAAGCCAATCAGCGATTAGTTTACATCGATTGTTTACATCGTGCCCGCTGATCTAACCTGCGAACGGGCATACTTTAGCCTCGTCAGGCCTCGTGTATAAATCGTGTTTTATATTCTTTCAAAAATATCTTGATATTTTTATCAATTTATCTTGAATTGGCTGTCTTGTTTTCTGACTTTTCTCGCCATTCTACGTGCGATATTATTCCGAAGTTATTTATCAACATGGAATCTTATCCTCAACTGGTAAGTAGTCAAATACCACATATTATATATTTAAATACCAAATTTGTGCAAATATATGTCCCACATATTTTATAAGTTTTATAATACATGAGTTCGCCAGTTCGGCAAATATTTACTATACTATCTATAGTTAATATTGCCGTATCTTCGGCGTAGAGTTTACATGGAATGCACTCTGGAATTTTTTTATTAATATATTACACTGTTAAAATATTGGATATTTTCGAGGATATTTTAAGCCATTTGTCAACATAGTTCACAAAAAGATTTATACAGTATTAAAAACAATCCTTCTGTGACTTCTGTAATATTTTAAACAGTGAAAACATTCTCAGGAGATATTGAATTAAATCCTGGTCCTGTATTTCTGTATATTGACTCCATAACTCTGTTCAAAACAACAGTCCAACTATAAAGCTGTCATCAAATGTAGTGTTAGAGCAAAGGTTGAAGATGTTATCAGTTAAAATACTTATACATTTTGGTTTTACACATTAGAGTTAATTAAACAAAATTTTTACAAACATTTTCAAATAAAAGAATCCTCACCCTCCCGAGCCTCATTACATTGTCATTTTGCTTTCTAACATAAATATTTTTCTTTAGAGATTAATACAAGAATGAAGAATAAATGTACTGGATATTGGCTGGATAATTTTGTCAGAACAACCAACTTGCAAGACAATCTTACCTAAATTCATTAGTATGGAAAATAACTTAACAGCTACAATGAGTAATCATATATTATATGGTGGATTTGATCAATGGCACACAATGTACAAAACTAAACTTGTGATACCTTCTACTCAAACCGATAATCTCCCACAACACGATTGTTTTTGTGTGAATGTGCTGTACGTGTTAAACCGAACAGTGTGGTATATCATAAACTGTGCACAGAACTGGAATTTAATTATATACTTCACTCATGACCTTCAAAACATTCTCAATTATTCAGTGGTCTTCGACATGTTCACCAAATATTTTGTGTATGTTACTCAACAGTTAACATTGGCAAGTGTAAACAACAAGTGACATAACTTTTGCTTCATATGATTACAATAAAGTTTTGAAAATTTGATGAGTATGGATTGAATTGACAGGTGACAGTTTACTAAATAGCCGGCTGTATAGACACTTTGAATATTGTTTGCATGAAATTTTTATTTTCTGACTGCATAATTATCTGTTACAATCAAAATCACATTATAATGTTAGTTAAATTTTCTCGGTGTGGGGGTGGGGGTAGCACTTGCCCTGCTGCACTCCCCGCTGTGTACAGCCCTGTTTTAAATCTTATCTGCCATTATAATAAGTGATGAAATATTTCATTTGTCCCATGTCATCTTCATTATTCAGTTTCTTTCAAGAAAATACAAAATGTGAATCAAGTTTTTTTTGCAGATACATGTACGCGTCGCGTACCTATTTTTTTACATGCGGCAGTTTTACATTTCATACAACACTTTCTATAACTGGCAGAGTAAACAGAAGTCAAAACTCTTCAACCTTTACAACTCTTACACCGGGTTGCTTTTACGTATGCCCCAACACAGTAGGGTAGAGTACAGTAGACTGTAGAGTTTAGTAAAGTACAGTTAAGTATAAAGTACAGTTTAGTTCAGTGCAGTAAAGTACACTCTGTACAGTACAATACAATACAATGTATTAGGGTACTGTACGGTGAGTGCAAAAAACTAGAGTACAGCATGGTTCTAAAATCGTTCATATATAACGCTTATCTGTAAAAACATTCCAGGTAATTTTGGATGAGCTACCACCATTACCGAAACAAGAGTGCAAAATTTCCGCGTCTTTTCACGTGAAAATGTAAGTGGACTCCTTTATTGAACATATAGAAGTTGATGCCGTGTGTACCCCTAATAGATGATGTTAGTTCATAGATGTTGGCTGCTTCCGGTGTTTCAGGTCAACATACATAAACGGTCGGTGCCAATGTGGGTAGCGATGATAACAAAAATAATTAACTTAGACAGTAATACTTCCCGATGAAGGGCCTTCGCTCGAAACGTCGAAATTCTGTTCAAATTTTTCAGGTAGTTGTATCTCTACATACTGCTGCTTTTCATAATGAAGGTTTACCAGTTCTTAAAGTAATGTGATATTAATATCTGAATTGAAGTAAATCTCGCCAATTATCTCCCTCTACTGCATGACTCAGTTGATTAAGAATTAGTGAGGACTAACCTCTGATTGATGTCCTCTTAACGCTGCTGAAATCGGAGATAAGCGTCGACCATGCCGTAACTAACACTAAGCGAGAGGAGGGAATAAAGTTTTTAGGAGCAAAGGATACAAAAGTCTCGTGTATCGTTTTCATATACTTTTAATTAGACAAATTACCATGAAAGTTGGAAGTTCCAACAAAGGTTTGAGAAACTATAGAACTGAAATTTTGGAGCAACAAAAGGGTGGGAATAGGTTGATCCGCCTCTAGTGTGAAGCCCTCTCTTCTCGCAATGAGAGTTTCATCCAGTATATGTTCGACACCGAGTCATTTTTTTGTTCACTTATAACAAGGTAATTTCTTTACTTTATATTTGTTAGAGATGGTTCTTTACATATCCATGTGTCTGAGAAGTCGTCAGGGAAATCAGTGGGTGTGACTGTCGAGCATGGCTAAAGATACCTATATATATATATATAATAATTAAAATAGATTTTGTAAAATATGATGACGTTTCATGAAACCATAGTTGAACAGTGCTTATTAGTGATAGTGCCAGGACGTTCGCACCCAAATAACGCGCTCGATCCAAGTTGGGATAAAATCGCAATTAAATAATAACATGCAGCTGAGACTGGATGATTTATTGTTATTACTAACTAACTGCAGTACCTGTTAATAGTTAATAACTGTTTTACCTCTATTAAATTAGGGGTAAAACACAGTATTAATCCATGCATGTACACGAAAAGAATCCCGCACAAATAGGCTTATATAATAATTATTTGCAATATATATTTGCGCAAGTTTATATCATAATATTAACGCTGGCAAACTAACATTAGGCCTATAACAAAATAAATTAAGGCATGATATCTGAAGATTATATAAAAAACCTGTTATTAGAATACATTTATCTTATCAACTAGTATTCATTGGACATTTGTTACATGATGTCTGTATATTGTTCTACTCTATATATACATTTTATAAAAATGTTCAACTCCTATTTTAATTTTTATTCAATGTTAACTGGCTTATATCTCAGCAGGTCGTGAATTGAACGCCTGTCCAATTCTGCGAGTGCCCTATTCATTTATTACAATATATACGACGCTAATTTCTGTCTTTTAACTAGAAATTTTTAACCGTTATCTTCAAATGTATTTCACTTGGATTGTTGTTCTTATCGTGTTACTATTTTCTGAAGTCCTTGCTCAGCTGTCTAATGCGCCCTTTGATGACTTGGTAGATTTCTGGGGTAAGGTTTTGTAGTTACTAAGGTCAAAATCTTTGTGTTACCTGTTACTCTTACATAGTTACATGACTTCATAAGCTTGAATTGTGCAATGTGAAAACAGTACGTCGGAGTGTACTTGCTGGGAAAATGTTAACTTTATTTGTCATCTTGTTTGTTATACAAAATGTTGATTATGTCCAGGGATTTTGCACCGGATCATGTCCAGGTAAATGCAAATGAAAAATCTCTGTTATGATTATACCGCTCGCGATATCATAATTGTTAGCTAGACTTGCTGCTATATATTAGTCGTGTTGTCTTATTAAGTTATATAAAACCTGAAATGTTTTTTAATTTTATGTCATTTGTTAGTCATAGTGACTATACTTAAATTAACTTGCACGCGCCAATATATTTCGCTTAATTAATTTCAACTATACAAATTATTCCGGGAAGCAATAAAAACTCTTATCGCTGTGGTAATAAGTTCCTTTATGTCATTTGTTAGTCATAGTCGTACTCGTGTGAAAGCCATTCTCTCATCATTCTTAATTCATGCGGGTGAGTTCCGTCGTGTAAACCAAGTACAGTTCAGTGTCTCCATGCAATCGTATATTGTCCTATCTGAAACTAACAATTTGTGTTCAAATCAGCTCCACCTGCAGACCTTAATTCGTAGACTAATTATGTTTAAATATTTCCTTATTATATTTACTTATTACTATAGTTTTTGAAACTGTAGATATATGACCTGTACTAAAGTTGCTCCTGCATGTCATAAAGCCCGTTTACATTTGCAATTTTTGTTGCGATTTCGAGTGCGATTTTCTCGTACGGATGTGAACGAGTAGAGGAGTTATAAATGTTCTATAAGGGACTGCTCATTATTTATTGTACAGGGGGAACTGAGGAGAAACTCTACAGTTATAATATTTTTTCGTTGCCCCCTCTTAAGACAAGTAAAATAAGTCAAGTAACCTTTAGCCCCTAAAACAAGAACATAAATTTTAGTCCCCCCCCCAACTCTAGCTCTTTATTTAGAGAAACAAAAATAGATAATGGGGACCAATAGACAATTCCCATTATAGACTAGTTTTTTATCTTAACAAAAAAAGTATATTCCCGGGAAGAGCATACTCAAATTAGTAAAATTGCAAAGTTTGGTTGCGAGATGTTGTAAAATGTAGAAAATATAGCCTTCCAAAGTTTGCAAATTTTGTATACTTTTGTATTGCAATTTTTGCATGCAAAAGTATACAAAATTTGCAAACTTTGCAAGGCTATATTTTCCGTATTTTACACTAGATTTCGTAACCAAACTTTGCAATAATTTGTTTATTTTAGTACGCTCTTTCTAGCTGTGGTGATTTATTTGCATCACTTTGCCTAGTTCTAAAATTAGTCTATGATAGGAATCGTCTATTTACATGAACATAAGAGACTATTTATTTGGCTTCTTATGAATATTACATTTTTAAAACTACTGATGTTTTTCAAACTAGTAAATCTTTTCAAAGCCCCCCTTCTTTCGTCTCTCTGTATTTTTTCAAAGCCCCCCTTTCAGGTTTTAAAAAATTTAAAGCCCCCCCCCAGTTTCTCCTCAATCCCCCCTGTACAATAAATAATGAGCGGTCCCTAAGTACATCATAACTCATCAACTCGTTCACATTCATCAGATGAAGAAATCCGCGTGGCCTAAAAAGTGTCAGAAACAGGACTATATATAGGCTAGGGATTAGTTTCTGAAGTAAAGATATGCATGCCTATATATATATATATATATTGCTTGATTGATTGACTGTGCGTGATTATTTTCAATTTTCAATACTGTATATATTCCTTTAATTCTTAACAGAAAGTGTTTGGGATGTGAATTAGTTGAGTTCCGGCAATTGGTATATTTTAATTGTTGTACTGAACCTTAGTGAACTGTAATATAATTTAGTATGTGTTTGTAAATTAATTGAAAGGAGGGAGTGCGTTGCACGGGACTAGTTCCGTTCGTACTCTGCATGGCCGCTTGGATATTGTCTGATAAATTTAATTGGGCGAAACCTGCTTTTACTATGCATGGGATGTACTAAGTTTTGTCATTGTCCGAAATGTACTGCGCTTTACCATCCTGCCACCCTAGCGGACTAACGACTTCTCATACGGTCTCAAAGAAAACTGGCACCGACTTTTGGGATTTTCAAACGCCCCCGCAATCCCCCTGCATAAGATACATCAACGGTGGAGCGAACTCGCTATAGCCAATCGCAGAAGGCAAATAAACTACTTCACCCTCACTTGGGGAAAAAGGTTGACCGCTTTACATTTGGAATTCTACCCAATGGTAAATTAATTATTTTTGTTCTATTTGTTCAAACCAGAATTCGCACAGTAACTAGATCTGTCCTCCAACTCGTACGATTCATGAGTCCCATGTGAATTAACTCGGTCGTAGGCTTGATTCCTGCCTATAGTTACATTTCAGAGGTTGCATTTTAACTGCTCCAGGTTTGGTCTTAAATTCAGTGTTTTATTAGGTTTAAAGCCACGAGCGCGCAGCACGAGTGGCTTTAGCCCTAATAAAACACGACCGGCAAGTTTATTAAACGGCTTCAAACACGACTACACATTCAATAGATATACTGCCTTATTAGTATTCTTTATATAAAGAATACTAATTAGGAGTGTTTTATCAGGTATAAAGCCACTGCATGCACGTGACATATTATGGTTGACATGATCATGATTTGCCAGTGAGCTTATGAATTATTAATGAGTGTTTGAAATCAGATATAATTGCGCAAGCCGGGCTTTTCGCTTAGACATCTTCTTAGACTTATATATATATATATATATATATATATATATATATATATATATATATATATATATATATATATATATATATATATATATATATATATATATAAATATATATATATATGTATATATATATATATATAATAAATCCGTCTGACCGTGTAGCTCAGTTGGTAGAGCGTCGATCTAGTAATTCGAAGGTCGCGGGTTCAAGACCCAGCCGCGGCAAACTTTATCTTTCTGCTTACGCTAGGTATGGAAATTATATCATACACACTCGAGAACATTTTCACCTTAACATATTACGGAGCGTACAATTACACAACTCAACATAACACTTGCAGAACTAGTATTGCTCGATGCTGAATTAATATAAAACGAGTATGTTTATGACATTCAGTATATATTTCATAATTTCCAGTCTTAAATCCGTCTGACCGTGTAGCTCAGTTGGTAGAGCGTCGATCTAGTAATTCGAAGGTCGCGGGTTCAAGACCCAGCCGCGGCAGACAACATCTTTCTGCTTGCGCTGGGTATGGAAATTATATAATACACCCTCTAGAACATTTTCATCTTATATATATATATATATATATATATATATATATATATATATATATATATATATATATATATATATATATATATATATATATATATATATATATATATATATATATATATATATATATATATATATATATATATATATATATATTGTAATA